CTGGGCTTGGGTCTTGGCCAGGATAATGCATTGACTTTTGGGTTGATCTCAGGCATGACAGAAATCTTCCGAGTGAGCCACAGTAGTGAGGGAAAACCTTGCCTTCTTCCCTCTAGAATGGAATACACTGCAGGCCTTTGAAGATTAATCACTTGACAGAGGCAAACCGATCTCAGTTAATTCTACTGGAGTCACCTCTTTCCTTGTGGCTTGAATGATACTCTCCTGAGGAAGGTGGACTAGAAGGCAAATTTGGTTTGTAGCTCCAAAATCAAGGGCCTCTCTCAGATACCCAGTCCCCTCAGCAAAAGATTCAAATCCTCCATACTCAAAATGCCTCGACTTTCTTTCCTCTCCCCTCACCTGGCCTCTTCTAAGGCCATGTCTAGGGGGCCCGTTAGTATAGCAGTTGCTTTCAGGGCCCCTGGAATCAGACTCTGAGTTTGAATCCTGACTCTACTTCCTGATGGACATATGATTTCTGAAAAATATCTAAAGTTTCTTCTTCTAAAAAATGGGTATTAGAGCACTGTACTAGTTTGCTAGGGCTGCTGTGATGAAGTAGCACAGACAGAGTGGCTAAAAAAACAGACCTTTATTTCCTTGCTGTTATGGAGGCTAGAAGTCTAGGATCAAGGCGGAGGCAGGATTGACTTCTCTGGAGGCCTCTCTCGTTGGCTTGCAGATGACTGCCTTCTCCTGTGTCCTCACGTGGTCTTTCCTCTGTGTGAGTGCATCCCTGGTATCTCTGTGTATCCAAATCCCCTTTTCTTATAAGAGCAAAGTCAGATTGGATTAGGGCCCTCTCTAATTATGTCATTTAACTTAATCACCCTTTTAAAGACCCTTTTTCCAAATAAAATCCCATTCTGAGGCCCTAGGGACTATAGTTTCAACATATGAACTTTTTTGGTGGGAAGAATGACACAGTTCAGCCCATAGTAAGTACCTACATCACAAGGTTCTCCTAAATAAGATAATGCATATACATGCTCAGTGAATCATGCGGTGTTCTCTGGGACAGTCAACTACTCTGTAGGGAACACATTCGTCTGGGGCACACCCTCCCCTGCCCCAGTTGAGCCCCCAATTAGCTGGCTGCCCTGAAGCACCTTCTGCTGACAGTCCTTTGAGGACAAGATGCACTTACAGTCCTGTGGTGGGGGAGGCCACAGGTTTTGTCCAGGGAAATGATGCAAACGTGGCAAATCATGGGACATTTGATCCATTGACCAAGCATAACAAGTGTGCCAATGTCATAGGTGGGATCCAGACAAGTTTCCTGGAGGCGAGTTGAAAACAAATGTATCATCTAATGCCCGGTACCACTGGTTCTTGAGCCCCCGGAGGGCAAGTGTTACCCTCTGTTGAACATCCAGTGAGAAACCCAACTCCAAAATGGGATCTAAAGTGGGCCTGGTATTTTGGTCTCCACTGTAGGATGTACTCAGCCTTTCAGCAGCACTAACTCTGGACCCCCTAAAATGTGTCTACAACTTTGCATAGAACAGGGAGTTCTTTGGTGAATGTGGTGAATTAGAATTAGCCCCCTCCAGGCATTCCTCCCTCCCCATAGGATCATCTCTGTTGATGCTGCTGGCAGAGTGAGTGGAGCAGGTTTAACATGGCATGATGTCCCCACTCATATTCCTTCCTGTCCCTGCTCACCCTGCCCTGGCTCTGAGAAGAGGCTCCAGATAAACGCACTTTTTCCAGTCCTGGACAGGGCCTCTGCCCTGGTCACCTTGTATACAGGGCACATGTCAAAACTTTCCCCTTTCCCTTTCTACTCTAACTTGGAGCATTTGCACAAAGCCAAGCATGTGGCCTGGCATTCAAGGCCCTCAGGGACCAACAGCTTGGTGTTAGAACAAACATATGCAATTAGAGAAGGCTGATGGCCTTCTTCACAAATGACCTCAGGAAAGGGGCTACCTGGTGGGTCTCTGGAGAGCCAAGCTGACCAAGTGACAGGGTGCAGAAAGAGTGGAGAGCCTGGACTAGCGTGATCTGGATGGCAGAGAGCTGTACCGTGGGCCTAATTGACAGCTGTACTGTCAGTGGTCCTCAGGGTAATCTTGGGCAAGGAACCCAAGCCCTTGTACTTCTGCAACCTGTTGAATGAGTGGGTTGAAGGGAGTGGTCCATGAAGCTTCCTGTGGATTGACTGTTTGGTGATATACAATATATCAAGTTGGGAACAGACAGGCAGAGAAGTAAGAGTGGGGCTGGGCATCAGCTGGCCAGCTGGCCAGCAGGACCGCAGCCAAGCACTCAGATCTGTCTTCCATGTGACTCTGTCCCAAGCCCTCCTTGTAATTCACATTAATGTCTTATGATGCTTAGGGGACATTCATGCCGAACTCTAGAGAGCAATTCTGGAAGCATTAACCAAGAACCAAGGCAGTGTATAGGTCTGCTCCGAGGGAAGCAGTTTCTGTAACACTTCATGAAGGGTGAGGCAGGAGCAGAACACAGGCCCTCAAAAACCACAGCAACAGATCTGGACATGCCATAGGTAACCCAGAAGATGGAATAATGATGAAAAATTGTACCTGGTGTGATTGCTGGAGATGAATTCCTACTTATTTGTATTTGATATGGAGAGGGCAAATATCACAACACACAGAATATCACGGCCAGCACAGTGAAGGCTGAGGGGCTGTCCCGCTTCTGTCCGCCAAGTCTGTTCAAAATCACACTCAGAATAAGCCTGAATTAGACCATGCTCTGGCAAAAGCTAAGCTGCTTTTTCTTACTTTATGAGCTTGGCACTCGTGTTTTTGTCTTAGAACCAGGGAAGTAATACATTTTGATTTATTAGAAGGAATAAAAAAAATCACGCCTTCTTCCCATTCAGCTTCTGTAGAACTCCCATCTGATTATTAAAGGTCAGTGGTACCACCAAGATTATTAACATCAAGAAATGAGTTCACCAGGAGAGGGCTGATGTCACAAAGACATTCAAGAGGAGCTTTCCTATGGTAAAGGAAAGGATCAGCAAAAAGCCTGGCACAGACTACCAAGAGGATGGCACATTCCCTGCCCTCTGGAAACCCACAGCCTAAATCACATGACTCCCAAGAAGACTTGTTCCCCTCCCTTTCCACCCCACCACCAGCCAAGATAAACTCAGGAGGCTCTGAAAGGTTAGGATGACCATTGTGATGTTGTCGCAGAGCATGCACGGCCTCAGCAGGTGCTGGTGGAAATGCCCTGTGTGTACAAGGGGCAGGGAAGGATACATCAAGTACCATGTTCATAACTTTCCAGAAAGGTGATAGGAAATGTATTAGATGTTCTCAAGATTGGCTTCTATGGAAGAATTGGGATGGTTTCTCCCCTATTTATTGTCAACTGTGGTTGCCATTATTTACAAAAGCCATACGTATTCATTGTAATAGTTAACAGTCTGGAGGTTTTTCTATGCTCACACCAACATAATGGTTTTTATTATTGTACTCTATCATTTTGCAAGCTGTAAACCTGAGTGTCTCTGTGAGATGTTGGGAGTATGTGAGTGAGGTCGATGAGGAAAGTGAATGCAGGGAGAGTGTAAAATGACAGGGGACTTTGACTCTCCCCTGGGGCTTGGAAGGGAGAGGGAGGATGAGCAGGTTCCCAGGGAAAGACAAATCCAAGGCTACAGGGCTGGAGCAGTTGAATGAGTCTCTTGATGAGCAAGCTCCTGGACCTTTGAGCTGAGAGACGTTGATGATGTAACTTTGACTTCAGCCTGGAAGAACATTGTGGGGAATTGGGCTGTAGTGCAAGGGAGGGAACCCAGTAAGGAGATGGGTACCAAAGGAACAGTATTCAGGACTCCAACTGAATTTAGTTGTGTTTAGTTCTGAATGTGGAGAGAAAGGCAAAACAAAAGAGCCTTTGGATGGATGGAGAAAATACGTGGGAGTGTCGAAGGGTGATGGGGAATCTTGCTTCAGAGGGGGTCATATGGCAACACTTGCCTAATAATTGGTTTCTTGTAGGTGGATTTGGAGAAACTCCGGTAACTATTTATTGTGTTGAGTTTGATTGAGTTACAGAAATTCAATAGGCAGCATAGGCAACATTATAAATAAAATTGCTCTATAGCAATTGAAGTATGATTTGGGATCAGACACATTCACTTGCCTGCTGAGGAGAAATGCAGGGAATGATGAGCAAAGGAGGGTGAGCAGAAAAGGCATTCTCAAAGCATGAACAACAGTGCTGTTGAGTCAGGACAGAGATGAGACAAGGACGGGCTTCCCACGTCAAAGCCTCAGAGAATTTTGAGCAGAATGGTGGGTTGGAGAAAGCAACAAAAATTGGACAAGAATGAGAGATACAAGAATGAGTGAGAAAGGCAACCACCGAAACAGACAGAATACCCCAGGACCCTTGGTCAGGGTGGTCATAGTCAGGGAATGGAGAAGCTAAATGCAAAAGCCTCGGTTCAGAGCCATGGGTGAGCTGATGAAAAAGTAATAGAGACTCCAGTGCTTTCCCAGAGGCGGATAGTGGTAGAACTTGGGGGCAGTGAGCAAACTATTGGGCTTCACCATTGGTTATCCCTTCTGTGGGCTCTTCTGAGAGCACAGGCTGCTGGTGACAGGGCCACCAACCCTGGCCACACACACATGTGTAACAAGGATCCCCACAAGCTCGTGATTCCTTAAAACTGAACACGTGCCTGCTGGCCCGCAGCGACTGCAGTGAATCATCATGGTGTCCCCAGTTCTCGGATCCCTTGGCGAGGCACATCAGCCTCTGCCTTAGTCTTGAGTGGTAGGTCCCCAGGAATTCCGGACTGGGTTGTGAAATGTAAAATGAGACCTCCAAAGTTGTCAGCTTAGGGAACAGCTGTGACGTTGAAATCCCATTCCTGATTGTGTGTTTCTTTCTTCCTCCTCCTTTAGACCGCTGTGTGTGTGGGCGTCTCCTCGGCTGGCAGCCCCACCGTGCCCAGTGCTTGATGTCCAAGGTTTTGACTGTGTGGGTTTGTGTCTTTCTGGCAGGTGTCTCCTCTGCGACTTCCCTGATGTCCCTGGCTTGGGTGCTAGCCTCCTATCACAAGCTGCTGCGGGACTCCAGGGACGACAAGAAGAGTATGAGCTACAGAGGGGCCCTCATCCACCTCTTCTGGCGCCTCTTCACCATCTCATCCAGAGTTATCTCTTTTGCCCTCTTTGCTTCCATATTCCAGCTCTACTTCGGGATCTTCGTGGTAGTTCACTGGTGCGCCATGGCCTTCTGGATCATCCATGGCGGAACAGACTTCTGCATGTCCAAGTGGGAGGAGATCCTCTTCAACATGGTGGTAGGGATTGTGTACATTTTCTGCTGGTTTAACGTCAAGGAAGGGCGGACTCGATATCGAATGTTTGCATATTACACGATAGTCTTGACCGAGAATGCTGCCTTGACGTTCCTTTGGTATTTTTACAGAAACCCGGAGACCACTGACTCCTATGCGGTGCCAGCACTGTGTTGTGTCTTTATTAGCTTTGTGGCTGGGATCGCATCGATGCTCTTATATTATGGTGTGCTGCATCCCATGGGGCCGCGAGCTAAGATTTTTGCCAGCTCCTGTTGTGCCGAGCTGCTCTGGGGCATCCCTTTGCCCCCCGATGTTGAGCCCATGGCACCTCAGACCCCTGGGTACCGGGGGACCCAGGTCACGCCTACCAGAGCCGTAACGGAACAACAGGAGGATCTCACGGCTGACACTTGCTTGCCCGTTTTCCAAGTGAGACCCATGGGGCCCTCTACCCCGTCGGGGCGTCCTTACCACCCAGAAGGGCCCCTCATTAAGATTGACATGCCAAGAAAGAGATATCCAGCTTGGGATGCTCATTTTGTAGACAGAAGGTTGAGAAGGACTATTAACATTCTGCAGTATGTCACTCCCACCGCAGTAGGCATTCGGTATCGAGACGGACCACTCCTTTATGAGTTGCTACAGTATGAGTCTTCACTCTAAGAGCATCTTGACCCAAGTTGAGAAGGGGACCTTAAGTTTGGTTTGCGGTAAACACCGCTCACAAGAAATATAACCCTCCCTTCCCCCAAAACACAAAACCACCACCACCACCACCACCACCACCACCATCACAACCACCAATGCTACAAAAAAAAAAAAAGAAAAGAATAAGTCACAACCCCTTCAGATAAGCTTTCTTTCCAGTCGCTGTATGTATACAAAGATATTCTCTATGTTTTGTAAGTAAAAACAAAAAGAAAACTTTTCTTTTGTTTTTTACACATAAGAAACAGTATTGAAAAAAAATCCCACACTATGGTTCATAGGGTGGAGAAGGAGGAGTTGTCTCCACTCCAAAAGAAAAAAAAAGTTTTATACCTTACACCAAGTGTAGATCATTTATGGGATTGGTGCTGATTGAAAGATCAAAACAAAACAAAACAAAACAAAAAACACAAACAAACAAAACCTTCAACTGCCTTATGCCCTTAGGTGCTGAGTTTCATTAAGTACTGTCATGTTTCCTCATGCAAAACTCTCTGGTGACTTTTGCACCAGGAGAGGAAAAATTCAACAATCAAATGAAACAAATCTAGAAACAAAATGAAAACCAACCAACAAAAAAACCCGCAAAGCAATCATTCTTCCTATCCGATTATTTGTATCGAACAAAACAAATTTACCAAAAGCAAAGGCATAGAAAACCCTCCTCCTCTTTGGTTTCTCTCCCTGTCCCCTGTCCTTGCCCCTAACTTATCAGCGCCTTCTAGGAGCCAAAAGGCTGGCTATTTGAAACTCAGATGGCTGGAAAAGGTACTTGAAGGCTGACTATGTGCCATTTTAGCATTCACCTGCTAAGAATCACATTCGTTTCCTAGGATAAAGCAAAACAGGACAAAACAAAAATCTACCCCAATAATTCTATAGGAATGGGAAATTCTAATGCAAAGTAAAGGAAATTTCCATTTTTGTAATCAAAGAACATCAGTAATAATAAAACTCAGCATAGTAGCAAAAAGAATAAGACATCAATTTAAAGGCACAATACTTAAATCAGTGACCGGCAAAAATGATTCGTTCTGTCATTTTAAGGCCGTGAAAGGTATACAATTATCACATATGATATTGTGTAAGGCCTCTTTTGTTTCCATTTGGTGGGAAGCCTTAAATTGATCTGGAAAGAATTCTTCATTTTTTCATTTGTGCTTTTTAAAAATATTAACAAAAGAGGAAAATTAGAATATAAAAAAAAGTCAAATTGTAATAACTGACCCATTTCAAAGACTGTTTGGTGCTTCTGTCTTTCACCATTGTGGTTGGCTGAATGTCATTCAGCTCACTTGGTGCATCTGGGTTGAGTGGGAAATTTTGTGTGTGTAGTGAGTGTGTGTGTACGTGTGCATATATGTGTGTGTGTGTGTGTGTGTGCCCATAGCACACGTATATCTGTGTGTATGTGTCTGCTGCAAGGTCTTGCCAGAAATGTAGAAAACAGATATAAGACAGACTCTGGGTATGGCTGAGGTGGAGTATAAGGGTGCTGGGGAGCAGACAGCGGGGAGGAGGGGGTGGTGCTTGAATATCAACCCCTGTCTGGATGGCGAGACTCATACCAGCAGCATACTCTGGGTCTTTGAGGCCACGTCATTTGGGTGAAGATTTGAGTCAATTATTTATTTTCACATTGTACCAAGTTGAATTTCTGGAGGTGTTGCAAGTGTGTTCAACCATTTTTAAATGTTATTTTTCAAAGCATTACTCCTATAAGGAATATTCTGTTCTAGGGCATCTTTTCAATCCCATTGTATCTCTACTTGGGCACAAAAAAAAAAAAGGAAAAGAAAAAAAATCACAAAAAGAAAAAAAATCTCCACAAAAAGATATATATATATACATATATATATATGCAGATATATATATATATACACACACACACATATATATACACACACGTGTGTGTGTGTATATATATGTATATGTATATACACACACACACACACTATTTTTCAGTAAATACTGTTTGTCTTTGTTGTGTGGAGCTGCAATTTTTTTTTTAATTCCAGATATAACTGTTTAGGGTGCAAGACCTCATATTAAACTATTCTCAAGAGAAGTTCAAAAACTGAGGATTTTTTTTATGTTTATGGGGTTTTTTTAAAAATTATTATTCAAAGAGGCTTTTCTTTCCCACCCCCCTTATTATTTATCTAAATCTGTTTTAAAAAAAAAAGAAAAGAAAAAAGAAAAAAAGAACAAATTTTCAATTTCATTTCAGTTGTAAACTGGATGCTCCTTTTATTTTTTTGTTCCAATTCCTTTGATTTCTTTATTATTACTAAACTTTGCAGTGCTGTCCTGTCATCCTCCTTGACTTGGTTGTCCCCTCAGGTCCTCCCTGGTGGAAAGGAGGAAGGGAGGAGAGGTGCAGAGAGCCTGCGGCCCTCGTGCCCACCCATGTAGGAAGCATGATGCCCAGAGCACACCTCGGCCTTGGCAAAGACCACCCATGCGGGACTGTCTCCACCCAGCCTGGGACAGGCCCGTGGGCCACTCAACGGTTAATTGGGAATTCCGATCCGGTCAGCGGTGCTTTTCCTTTTTATTCTGCTTCCCTACCGAGGGCTTAGCTTGCTGCTTACTCTGCTGAGGCTGGAGGTGGTGAGGCCATTTGAGAGGGGCCATCCTATCCTGGCTTTCTGGGGTCCCAACTCTTGTCTGCCTCAGCTCTGGGGCTCTGTGTGCCATCACCAGAGCAGTCCTCAACAGTGACCCCATGCATCCCTTTGGGGCCTCTGCCACTTTGGCTTGTTTGCCTGTCCTTGGATTTATTTCCTTTTTCTTTCTGTTTCATTGTGACACAGCCACAAGCTTTAATTGGCCGCTTGTATTCTACTACTACACATTCAGCATGTGCGTGCACACGTGTGTGTTTCATGTGTATGTTTATGTTTACACGCAACTGAGAAAATCACCGAAGTTCATGGACCTGGAGCGCCAAAGTTGGGGGGACAACTTCCAACTCAGGGAGGCCTCTCTGGGGCCTTAGCCACTGGGAACAAATGAGAAGATCACAGAACATTTCAGAAATCCTTTCTTTTGACCTCTGAAGGATTGGGCTTGGCAGGACTCAGGCAGGAGGGCACTCTGATCCAATGAAATGTTACTCCTCACCCCTCCATCTTGCCCGTTACTTTCCTAAGGATGAAAAATGAAAATATGCATTATGAGCAGGCAAATCTGGTTTTGCATAGGGACAGAAGAATGAAGACAAGTCTGGAAACAAGGAGGAAACATGGGAGGGAGGCAGGGACACATAAAGAGAATGACCAGAGGAGACTTTTCATCAGCCTTCTTGGCACCATCAGCCTCTAACCAGTCCTTGCGTTTCCAATCATCTGGAGACCCTTTGTCTACTAGTCCCAACCAGCCATTCCCCTGTGGTCTCTCCCCCTCCAGTGTGCCTCCTCCCACCTTGAACAGTGGCTGGCATTTTCCACCCAATCCCCTGGGAGATCTGTCCTCTTACCTGTAAGACTTTGGTTCTGAAAACCCAGACCCTTCAGCCTCCTTTGCGTCAAGGTCACTCTTTGCACTCAGTGAGCACTGGTGGCTTCATCCCACACTGAGAATCTGCTCTTAGTCTGCCATTTGCTTGAGTGCCTGGCAAACCCCTCATGGATCATGAGGCACTGGGTCAGGCTGCCCCAGTTGCCCCCATCCCCACCCCCAGAGGGAATGCCTGACAAAAACTAATTAACTCTCAATATTTAGTTCTGGTAGGAGATGAGAGTGTTGTACCAGGAGCTATAGAATAAAATATAAATCTAGTCTCTTTTCTTTCCTTATTGCCACCTGTCCCCATCAAATATGCCCACAAACCCCATAGAGAATTTGGCTCTTCTTTTCATTCTCAGATATGTGAGACTATCTATAAAATCTAGCTGATTTTATTAGCATCATTTCCGTAGGTCCTGTTTCTCCATTGCTCAGCAGATGTGCCTCCTCTCTGGGCCTCTGCATGAAAGGAAACCTCATTCTCCTCAGATACCATTGATGTGAGGTGACATCCCCTGAGCTGCTTGTCACAAGCCTGAGACATCCCAAGCAGGAATGTCATGTCTCTCAGGGCCTTGATGAAAGGTCTTGATGAAGCTAAGGAAGTTTAAATTCATCAGATGAGCCCCCACTGGCCTCACTCACCCTCAAAGTTTCTCTTATCTCAAATATGCTTCTCTATTCTGTCTCCAGAACATAGGGTCAGACTTGTCCAAACAAGTTGAGAACCAGGGGTGCTATGGGGACCAGGCCCCATCATTCTTGATGGCATGTGCTGCCAACATGTCCCCTTCCAGTGGAGGAGGACAACACTTCCTTATGGTCCCAGCAACCCTCCCACTCCTACCAGATTCCCCTCACTCTACCTCCCCAGGCACAAATCCAGCCAACACTCTATGGCCCTGCCCTGGTGGCCTAACTTGCCATTACCTTAATAGCCATGGTCCCTTTGAATCCCAGAGTGGTTTAAAGGAGTACAGAGACCTGTCTGGACCATGGTCATGAGGATGATTCTATTGGCCTTGTGACATCTCATGGCATCGGCAACAGGCCCTGTCCCAAAAAAAGCCTTATTAGAAAAATTTACAGGTTTTTAGAAAACACCAAATGATATCATCTTCTCAGTTCTCCCTCTACTTTTACTCCGTCCCATACAGTCATAGTGGCAGAAGCAAAGGTTTCTGAGGCTGATCTCATTTGCAGAACCTCTTAAACAGACAGTACCCCACTCCCTTGTATACACCAAAACTTCCCTCACTGTGTTTGTGTGTGTGATAGAGAAAGTTTACTTCTCCCTCCCCTATCTATTCAGCTCCTTGCTCCTGGGGATGGAGGAATCTATAATGAGCCCCAAACTCTGATGCCCCCAGGCTGTAGGAACATTTTCTCCTTTATCTAGGAACAGATATAAGGAAAGGACAGCCGTGTGCAGGCTTTGAGCCTTTGGTCTGGAGAAAAGGATGCCAGATTCCAAAGGAAAATGGGACCCCAGCATATCCTACCTATAGTGTCCACACTTTCTGGCTCCTAGCTTCTCAAATGGAGTGGACTGGATCAC